TAATGACTTCATAAAAATTTTAAGTAACATAGAATACAATATCAGGAACATTGAGACTGACAAGCAAAATCGAATCAGGTCAAAACTATGTGAAAAACTAGTTAAACATTTAAATAAAGTTGATAATAGTTTCCAACATATTCATCTTAAAAGACTACACAAAGATATAGCGGAGACCAAATTATTCATTAAATCTAATAATATAATTGTTTGTCCAGCAGATAAAGGCAATATGACGGTAATCTTTGACAAAGAATTTTATACTAACACTACATTACGAATGCTAAAAGATGATACTACTTACAAAATCATTACAAATGATCCAACACAACAGTTTTCTAGACAATCAATTAAATTAATTAATGAATTAAAAAATAAAAAATTCATTTCTGACAAATTTGCCTATAATTTAAAAGTACTACATCCTATTTCCCCAAAAATGTATTGTCTCCCCAAAGTCCACAAACCTGAATGCTCCTTTAGACCCATTGTATCCTACGTTGGATCCCCATTCTATAATATCGCTAAACACATTGCTAATATTTTAAAAAATGTCACAATTTCCTCTCCTCATTATGTAAAGAACTCTTACTAATTTGTGGATCTAATCAAAGACCGAAACATTACGGACGATCAAATTTTTCTAAGCCTTGATGTAATTAACCTTTTCACATGTGTTCCCCATGATTTAATACTTGATTCAATTGAAAAACGCTGGCCCACTATTTGTAACTACACCGACTTTCCCATAACTACTTTCAAACACATCATTAACACTGTCCTGAATTTCTCTTATTTTAATTGTTTCAATAATTTTTATCTACAAATCAAAGGTACTGCTATGGGTTGCCCATTATCTCCTGGCATTATAGACCTAGTTTTACAAACCCTTGAAATTTCCGTTTTCTCCACATTGAATTTCCAAATATATTTTTATGTTAGATATGTAGATGACACTTTTTTTATAATAGACAAAGAACAATCAGATATGATAATCGATACCTTTAACAATTACAATAAGAGCATTCAGTTCACACATGAAACACAAATCGACAACAAATTAAACTTTTTAGACGTGACTGTACACAAAATTGACAGCATTATTTGCACAAATTGGTACAGAAAAACTACATGGTCAGGGAGATACCTTCATTACGCGTCATATTGTCCCAAAAATTATAAAGTCAATACAATCATTTCTTTGATAGACCACGCAATCATGTTGTCTCACTCTTCTTTTCATACCCAAAACACAACATTAGTAACTAAAACTTTATTAGAAAACGGATATCCCCTCACCCTCATCAATACCATTACCAATAAAAGACTTTCCTATCATAAAAGTAACAATTATCAATCCATCTCCAAGTTATTCCAAGACAACAATATTAAACCAACTTTTCACAGCATGCCTTACATTGAAGGCTTATTTGATTATTTTGCCAAATTACTCAAAGAAGAAAATATTTTCATTTCAGGAACAGCTCTATATTCTTTTAAAGAAATGTTTTCAAAAATTAAATCTACCACCCCTCCTAAATTCAATACTAACATAGTTTATTCCGTCCCTTGCAAAAATTGTCAAAAACAATACATTGGCCAAACATCACAGTACATTCATAAGAGAATGAGACAACACGAATTAAGCGTCACTCATCATAAAAGCCGAAATTTCCAAAGTACTCTTGTCCAGCATTCCATCGAAAACTCACATAATTTCACCTTTGAACCCAATATTTTATATAGAGAGGATTGTACTTTTAAAAGACTTTTTTCTGAAAGCTAAGAAGTGTTAATAAAAGATCAGATCACAATATCATTCATGACTCATATTTAAATTTTTTAAACCTGATTAAAAACAATTAATCCTAATAATTTTTGAATATGTATATATATATACATGTATATATATGTTATAATATATGTACATCCATATATGTGCTTATATGTATGTTTTTGTGTGTACACTATATACATGCACTTGCATATATGTTCATGTATATAATTGTGGATGCATTAATATATAGATATGTGCATATGTATGTATGAGTATGTAGGTGTGCATATACATGTGCATGTATATATATATACATAATATTTCTCAACATTTACTAAAGCAATATTTCCTCTTTTTTCGTAAATTACTAAACAAGAGCCATAAAAAATCATTTTTGCCAAGAATTCCATACATTGTCCTTTGCATCTGGCAGACAGAAATCTATATCAGTGTGTTTAAGTCTTGTGTAGTCGTAACATCTACAAATATCTTCCAAAAAAAATCGAGTGTTTTTGACAAAAAAAATATTAGTGATATGGATATATAAATTATTACAGGTAAATAATTTTTGCTTCTCAATTTTATATAAAACCTTTTTTAGTTAATTCTTATTACTCTTTACCCCGGTACATAATCCATTCCTTTATAAATTTTTTTTCTAATTAATCTGTATTGACCATCGTTAATTAATGTTAATCAATATTTTTAAAAAAAAACATTGTATTTGACAGAATAAACCTGATGATGGAACGTACCTAGTTCCGAAACGTCGTATTAAACATCTTCAAAAAACAAATTGTTTTTTATTATTGGATTTACTGTTCGGAAAAGAAACAATCAATATATATATATATATATATATATATATATATATATATATATATATATTAACTATGAATAGATGGCGCTGTTGTGATGTATGAATGTTGATACGAATGACAGCGTAAATCTATATAGAAATGCTATGGAGAATGATCCTATCGTAGGCGGAGATTCATAGTGTAGCTAGAGTAGAGAACATACTTATCATAGAGAACTTAGGGTAATTAGAGTAAATAAATAATTAAGAGAACATTGTGTTTTATTAGAGACGATTAGAGTTAACAAATCAGAAGGAAGATAACTCAAGGATTATTCAAGGATTAATTTAAACTTTATTGAGATATACAGTGACCATAACACGTTACGAAAACGAATTATTATATACATTATGTGCAACGCGTTTTCTTTTAGCGACATGAGTGAACGACGAGGGTTGAACCAAATTGATGCTAGTATCAGAGAAGAGAGATTTGTACGCGACGGAGGGCTAACTTAAGAATAAATACTCAAAACTATGATGCTGGAAAGTGGACGCCGCGATGATATTATGATGAAGATGCTCGATACGATTGCGAGTGGTAACACATCAAAGGCTACAAGCGGGTTGGCGATTATGCCAGAATTACTAAAAAGGATAGAAGATTTCAGAGGAAATCCGGACGAAGCAGACGCATAGTTGAGAGAAATATTAAGTATTCAACTATTGCATCAATTACCTGACGCATATATTTTGGAAATAGCTCGAACATATCTCGTTTGCGGAGCGAACCATTGATGCGCAAGAGTGCAATGCAATGATACGTTTGCGTCTAAGAAGACAACAACCGAGAAATGGGTTCGGATGATGGATAGGGTGCAACAACGTGATGAACCACTTTATGATTACTTCCACGATAAAGTTAGATTGTGTAGTGTTCTAGGGTTAGAACTAGCAGAAATTAAAGAGCAGATTCTAATTGGATCAATATCAAAGAATATGTGTGACGTGAGATGATGGCAAAAACCCACTACGGTACCGACGACTTATTTAATGATATGAATGCCTACAAAATTAAAAAAAGAGAGGAACCTCATACACAAAGAGAACCAAGTAATGACAAGAGCATTATTACCTTCGGAGACAGTGACAACGAGAGGAATTAAATCCGAATATACTCAAAAGGAATATTTGCCAGCTAGAGACAACAGTGACGGACCACTATGTTTCAAATGCAACGCATATAGTCATGTATCAAAATATTGCGATAGAATCAAATCAGAGAACAAACACACTGCAGAAAAATCTAATGTACTGACGAATGCCGACATGAATAGAGAGCAGAAAGAAAACCCAAAATATTTTCATGACGCCTATATTTCGGGTAGACAAATAAAGAGCTATATTGATTTAGGCAGACAGTGCACACTTTTGAGAAAAAGTGATGCAGGCGGATTAGGAATACAGTACGAAGAAATTCCAAGGACTATCACAATCACAGGTTTTGGCAGCGGAGAAGTTCGTCCGATAGGTAGTTGTACCATAGAAATTGAAGTAGACGAAGCTAATGCTGTGACTCCTATATATGTTGTGAAAGATGAATGCCAATCAATACCATTACTAATAGGTCAACTGTTCACAGAACAAAAACGATTGTGATAGTTAGGAGAGGACTTACCACCACCAAAAACTAACCTGTGGGCTAAAGAAACGTATGTTATACCGTCTAAATATGTAGGGTTCATTAGTGTACATACTGATAGAGACACAAATGCTAATATGTATATAGAGACCAATACAACAAGAGACAACAGATGTGTCCCAAGATGTGTAGTGTCAATGAGAAGGGGTGAGACCATCATACCGATACTGAATATATCAAATAATGAAACAACGGTTAAAAAGAATTATAAAATTACAAAATGCGACGAGTGCCATGAAAGTGAACAAACCCAGGAAAAATCAGATGTAAGAGAACTATCAATGGATACAATAAAATTAGATGAAGACATACCTGAAGAGAGTGAAACAAAATTATATAACTCATTAGATTTGGTGATTCATCGACCAGCAGAGAAGATGAAGCATGTGGATGCTCTATCCCGAAATACGATAAATGAAGTTGAAGAGACGGAGTGTGTGGATGGGCTTATGGTATTAAATAACTATTTAATAGAAGAAGACTGGTTAACCATAGCGCAGAGAAATGATGAAAACTGAAGTTTATTATGGGAACTATACAGAAGGAACATGATGCAGGGATCAACAGAGAAGATGATAAAATTATAAAGGAGTATGAGAATCGGTTAGTGTATGTAGTACCGAAAAGAGTGAGGTTAAGAAGGTATCATGATGATTTGGCACACATTGGACGCAACAAAGTTATCAAAAAGATTTTGGGCGAAATATTGGTTTCATAAAGATATGACCGAAGAAATGCTGCAACGTTTGATGGGAGTTATAAGTACGCAAGCATGCGTACGGACGGATCTGGCTGCAGGCAGTTTCTCTAGATGCACGGCCAGGTTCAACGGATCGAGGAATTCCGAGAAGGTCCAGGAATTCACAACGACGATTGTGCTGTACAAGGATATAGAGAGCATACCCGACGAGATGGCTCTGCGAGGTTTGCCACTACTGCTTCAAGACACAGCAGGTACGTGGTGAAAAGGCGTAAAAACGGAGGCAAGTACATTTGACGACGCTGCTATCCCTCTACTAAACTCTTCGATGGCCCCTAGTAAACCTCCACACAGCATATTCATCGAATTTTTCGGCACCTGGCAAGACAGAACTACAAGCACGGACTTATTCGTCTGTCAGAAGAGGGCACTGTTAGCCCAACTATCTTATGAGATGCCACTCAACACACAAATCGACCTACGGACTTTTACATATGAGAATCCGTGAGCGTGTTGCACGGACCGCTGGACGACGTTCGACGAGCTGCTACAGAAGGCATGCGTCATCAAGGCAATCTTTTGAAGCAAAAAAAGCAGACGGCAGTATCACTGAAAAGAAGAAGAGTTGCGCTTACTGCGGCAACATTGGTCACATCATCGGTGAATGTCGGAAGAGGCAGAAAACCGTAAAAATAATATAAGCAAGCCGTAATCAATAATAATAGATATTGGGGCTCTTGTCAAGCTTATTCATAATTAATATTAAAAAGATAGTAATTTTATAATAATCATAGTAGATGCACAAATTTCGCTTCTGAAAAAAAGAGCTGAAAAAAAGCATTCAAACATTAAATACAATGTTCATCATCAAGTTCATCATATTAAAGTCTATTCGACCACCAGTCAAGCTCAAAATTCTTGCACAGGGTTGAAAGTTGTAGTCTTTTAAAACCGTAAAAATTTTAAATTAATAAAACAGCAATAAAATAATAATAATAATAAAAACATGGTTGTACAGGCGATCAAATGGTCACACTACATAGATAAAGGATAAGAATTATGCAAGAAAATAGTTATTGAAATCAAATTGAGAAAATTCAGTAATGTCATAAAAAGATAATTCTTTAAAAAGTTTGACTAGGGAGGCATGAAATTTTTTGCTGTCTAAGTTTCGGATATTGAGTGGAAGTTTATTCATAAGCTGAATACCTAGTGGTGACGCCACTGACTATTATATGCGTCGATAATAATAATATAGTCGCCATCTCGGGGTTACAATATGTCAACCGATTTGTTCCTTTCTAATCCAGACTACCTGTCTCTTTCCTTCCAAAACTTTGACCTATGACTTCCGACACGCGGTCTATTCTTTTCGAGTTGATTCCTAGTTCACTTCGCTTCCAGTGCATTTTTAGTTCGGGTTCTATCTAGTTCCGTATTCAATTCGATTCCAGTGCGTTATCAGTACGCTTACAGCTTGCTTTCTTTCTTTGGTTCAGTTTCGAGTTTCCTTCCGAGTCAGTCGAGTTTAGAAGTTTTGTTGAGTTTCCTTTTATTGACCAAAGTGAGGTCATTTTTAGATTATATTATCATAGAAGAAGAACGTTTTTAGTTTCCATATACAGTCCACGAATACCAGCCCTCCGTGTGGTCTACTGATCGAATCAAGGCCACACCACATTTTGGCCTTCCGAGCCGGATCTCAATTAAGATTGAGAGTTTGCATGATATAATTGCATTTAACGGATATCGAGGTAAGATTATATTTCCAAGTTTCTTATAATCCTAAAAATGCCGCCCAAGAGTGCATCTGCCAGTGCTGAAGTCGCACGATTAATTTCCAAACGAGAAATGTTTTTCCATTATACAGAAGACGTATGACTTGAGCAGAGATGTGGAAGATGCGTCAAGCAAGAAACAATTCTGTACAAACCTGATAATGTTAGATAACGTTCGAGAACAATTTATAAAACTTACCGACGATATTAATAAATTAAACTCGTTGGAAAATCCCAGTTTCGTACCGGATTATGCTGCCCTTCTATCCGTGGAACAATTATACGCGGAGATAAAATACATTGAAAAAACTATTTTTGATGTAAACAATACTTCCTCTTTGACAAAAAGTGAAGATTCCCCATATAAATTTATCTCCAAATCCCGTCTACCAACAATTGAAATACCCAAATTTGCGGGTGATTTCAAAAAATGGCCGCTATTTTTCGAAACATTCAAAACCCTTATATATGAGAATCCCGAGATTGACATTATATCCAAATTTCATTATTTAATGGGCGCCTTAGAAGGCCCAGTATGAAAATTTTCAATACTATCTTACCTACCGCCAATAATTATTTAATTTTATGGGAAACATTGATAAACAAATACGAAAATAAACGTTATCTGGGCATTCACTATTTCAAACAGTTAATGTCTTTTAAAACTGTAAACTCATCACAGTTGCATAACTTTATCGAGAAATTTGACACTGCAGTACAAGCATTAAATCAATTAAATATTCCAGACCTGTATGATTTTTTACTAACATCGATCGCTCTATCCAAATTAGATACCAACTTACAGGAAAAATTTGAAAATTATTTTCAGGGCGAATATCCTTCCTATAAAGAATTATTACAATTCATAAATAAAGTGCAAAAAGGTCAAAGTTATATTTATGATCTGCGCGAGAAGGTTTCGAAAACCCACATTTCTCATTTGTTGATAACCAGCAGTGTCAAATCGCTTCAATGTTACTTATGCAACGAAAGTCATAATATTTTTAAATGCTCACAATTTCTAGAATTAAATATTAATGACAGATGGTCAGCAATTAGGAGATTGAATCTTTGTTCGAATTGCCTGGGTCATAAACGTAACAGTCCGTGTCATTCTAAGAAAACATGTCTGTATTGTAATACCAAACATCATACTTTGTTACATTCAAATAATTGTGTTGACAATACAAAACAAGTTCCAACAGATATTCATTCCAAAAATTCTAAGCAAAAATTTCCGATTCCAATCCAAGTAATACTTTATGCGTTGTAAATGAATTAGATTTATCACATCATATAAATCTTATGCCGACCGCAACTGTTTATGTTTTGGCAACAGGTATTAAAACTAGTCCGTTACGTGTCATTATTGATACAGCAAGCGATCGCAACTATGTGACTGAGTCATTCTGTAAATCCGCTCAACTAGAGATAACACCGATCGAGGCTCAAGTCATTTCTATTATAGGTAACTCTTCGCAAAAAATTACGGGCATGGCAAATTTTATTATTATGTCGAATGATTGTTCCTTTCAAATGTCTGTATGTGCCTATGTAATACATGAAATTGTCAAACCACAACCGACCATTAAAATTCCATTCGATTCCATTAATAAATTTTTATCTTTACAACTGGCGGATAATAAATTTTTCATTCCTCAAACTGTTAATGGAATCTTGGGTTGTGATGTATTTAATGCTATTATTATGTCAAATCACATAAAAACCGTCGATTCACCTATCGCATTGGATACAAAATTGGGTTATGTAATAATGGGATCTCTTCCAAACGTTGCATCGCCTGATTCAAGTTCGACAAATCTATGCACGATTGAACATGATTCCTTATCTAAACAAATGAAAACATTTTGAGTTAGAAGATGTACCTGACATGATTGTGTCGGAAAACGGTTATTGCGAACAGTTCTATACGTCCACCACAGTACGAAATTTCGATGGACGTTACGTGGTCGCATTACCATTTCGTGACAACGTTAATGTAAATTTTCAGAAATCATATGAACTCGCGCATAAGCGTTATTGTATTTTAGAACAAAAATTTCGGAAATCTTTTGAATTCCATAAACAATATTCAGAAGTAATTCAAGATTATTTACAACTAAAACACATGTCATTTTTAGGCCATGTAAATGATTCCGCAGCCACACTGCAAATGTTGTTGTGTGAATCAAAACACAAAAACGTATTAAAAACCACAAAAAAGCGCGACATCATACACATAAGGGAGTGGTATTGCATAAAGGATGTTGTTTAATACGGCGATCGTTTAAGTTATCGCTCCAGGCGTGTAGAGATACATCCATACGGCGTGTAAACAGTTACGTCCAGTGCGTCAACAGTCGAGTTCTAACCCCACTTTTTGAGGATTTGTTGGTGACAGATGCTTAAGTGCGGAATTTGTGAATGTTATTATCAATTAAAATAGAGCGTATTAAATAATATTTTATTTGTAATAAACAATTTGGTTCGGTTTTTAATGAATACATGAGTGTGGAATCTTCGAAGAAATTTATAGAATGTTGTATGAAATAAAAAAGTGAAGGGGTAAGTATCAGTTTTAGAATTTATACATGAACTGAATTATTCAATATTTTTATTGTAAAATAAATTACAGCTAGAAGAAATGATTCCATTGAAATTGCTTCTGAGAACTGTAACTTGAAAATTTAATTTCTCTTCAGATGCAAAGGTTCTTAGTTTGAGGTTAGTTTGAGGTTGAAAATGTAATTCTCAATTTGTACCATATGTCTTAATTTATCATTATATTTTCAGATATGAAAAAAATAGATCAAACAATCAAATTAAAATGGAAGATTTACAGAAATTCATTAAATTCATTAAAGGCAGGAATGTATCACAAGTAGAAAATTTATTCAGAATTTACTGAGTGATCGAAGGCCCTAGATGGAAAATGAGGTTCAACGAATAATTGGTATAATAAATAAAATTTCTTCACTCGAATATAGAGAAATGGCAATAGTTTTTCTAGTGTTGTACTATATTTTATTTTATTTCATTTTAGGTGTTTTAGAGGTTTTGAATTCAAAAAGATTAGATGAAAATCTTTTGATAAATACAATTTGACATGATTGAAAATCTCGCGAATGTATTCTCTATAGAAAGTAAGAATGCGAAAATAACTTCTATTTCATTTCATTGAAGAAAACAACTGCAAATTTGACAATAAAAAAGTTAATTATTAAAAGAGTAATGCATATGCAATTTTGAGTAATGCATTTTTTTGGATGGTTATGGTTTACACTACATATGAAATTATATCTAGAGCTATTATTGTAACGGATGACAAAATTAAGATGGAAATTGATAATCGGATAATAGATTTTGGATGCTACTTTGTATGGCACAGATCGTAACCCCATGCTTTTTCAAATGCAATAAAATATATTGAATAGAAGCACAAGACCTGAAAGCATAGAAGCAGAAATTTTGAAAGAAAAATTCATAAAAGTGAATAAAAAATGATTCGTGTTAATAAAACTGTAATGAAAATAATAAACAGAGGAGCAAAAGGAAATCATTGATTTGTTGTGTTCTCATACGATGGACTTGTTTTCGACCAAACTACTATTAATTATCATTATATTGAATTTGAAATATTGGGAACAATAACAAATAATAAAACTTTAACATTGATGAAATTTGTGCACACTGTACAAAAAAAGGCAGATAAACTATTTTAAATACATTTAGATAATTCTTTTCTGTGATTTTTGTTATTAATTATATTTCATGTTAAATTTGTTCAATTATCATTAACTTAATTTCAAAAATAATTTATCAGAATTATTGTAATATAAATAGTAATAAAATTGTAATTTTTGTAAAATTGTGATTTTGAATTGGAATATATTAATACATATAACCTTATTATTTCATAATGTCTATTTATTTCAATAAAATATAGTCTTTGTGGTACTACAAAGCGTAGATTGTAATTATTAATATTAAACATTCTTCAAATAAGCATATGGTTAACACCCCATGACGTCGCGTTCTCATGATATCACACCCGTCGGGGCGGTTTCATGGTAATACCCGACCGGTGTGTTAGTCAAAAACACGCCAAAAAGTAGGTCAAAAGTGACTACATACAAATATCACCCCTTTTCGTGTTATTGTACGCGACATACGTTTGCAGTGAATGAAGGGTATTATATTCCACATTTTGCCGTGATTAAAGACAGCTCATCCACACCGTTACGAATTGTATTTGATGCATCAGCAAAGAATGCTGAATTTCCTTCCCTGATTGCCAACCTATTTTCCGGGCCAAAGCTACAGTCTAACATTATCACAATTCTTCTTAACTTTCGTTTTGGCGAAATTGCGTTAAAGGCCGATATTAAACAGATGTACAGAAATATATTAATTCGTGATCAAGATAGACGATTTCAAAGGATACTTCAGAGATTTTCTCCGGAAGATCCCCTCGGCATGTATGAATTAAACACTGTCACGTTTGGTATTACGTCATCTCCTTTTCATGCGTTACGCACTATTAAACAACTAGCTAAAGATGAGAGCAAAAATTACCCCTTAGCCACTAATATAATTCAAAATGATATTCATTGAAATGTGACGGCGTGGTTGTTGACTTGGTTGCTTCTGGGTCCTTCTAGCTATGTAGGGGTAATCCTAGCAACCCAAGCTCAACTCGTCCACAGATATATGATAAGCGGGGTACTGGTTTGATAAGTCTCCTCGGAACGGGGGTGGTTTCCTAGAGGTATTAGCTGGAAGACTTGGTGTAAATAAAATACAAGTTCTTCCGTAATTATAACCACTTTATTGAACAACACTAACAATATGACATTTACTGTCTCATAAACTAGAGTCACTTACAGTGTCTAGGATTTTACTAACTTTTACAAGAATTATTCGACTATTATATACTATAATATCTGGGTCATTAATAATAAAACAAGGTGTTTTTGTAATGTACTGTTTATGGACTAAATAAATTTTATAACAAACTTACTGTTGCTGTCGCAATTGAAACAATTTTTGTTTACAATTGCGCAGGACAGTTGATGCTTCCCCTAAAAAGTCTGACAGTCCCATGGCAGACATTAAAAAAAAATTTTATTATTATTATGGTCTGTTCCTCCGTTTGAAAAATTTTGTCGTCCTCGATAAAATCAATTTAAGTGCCACCTTGGTTTATTACTAATGCCCTTCTGAATAAATATAAGTTATTAAAAATGTTAATAATATTGGTTTTAGTATAATAATATTATATATACATATTCTGATGATTATGTAGTAATTAAAATTTCATAACACAAATTCTATACATTATAATATATCAGATTTCATTAGGTGTCAAATTCTGCATTTCTCTAGCCTCGGTGTTACTTTTCTGTTGAGTTGTGCGCTTTGTTATTATGCAAGCTACTAGCAATACCACTACAACAATTGATATTATAATTAAAATGTATACATATTTAGAGGTGCTACTAGTGTGTGGTATTGCTGCTTCTTGTTCTCTTTTAAATTGTTCTATATTTCCTGCAAACTGCTTTAACAGCTCATCATTATTGATACTATTCGAAAATCCGTAATACTTTGGAACTGTGTCAAGTGAAATGTTTCCAATTTTCAGTTCAATCCCAGATACATTTATTTTATTCATAAAATTATGTGTAACTATATTTTGAAATCTAGATTTCGCTCGAAGCGTAATTTCATGGTTAACTAACTTACATCCATCCGCAAGGCTTATCAGTCCTGTTCCTGATATCTCAGAAATATTTCTCGTATTTCTACAAGAAATACTAATGATTTCTCTTCCAGGACTGACAAATCCCCACGTATTTTCAGAGTGTAAGTTGAAAAATAAAGTATGATTAAGTTTTAAAAATTTTGTATTGCAAGAATCTGGGATTTGCCCCTTTGAAAGAAACATTTCGCTTTCACAATTTTTTCCATCTCTTAAATTGTATATGGGTTTGTTGATTTCCCAAATGAACTTATTATTATCAACAATGATGAGCTGATTAACTTCATTATCGTTCAGCGTTACATATTGAGTCAAATCTTTATTGATCATTATCCGCGACGACTTCTGTTCGATAAATAAATAATTATTTGATCCAACGTGTTTTGGAATTGCGGTTGCCTGATATAGATCAAACCCATTTTCCGAAACAAGTGGTAATTTTATCTTGAAATTTAATTTATTATTAAAAATATAAATATTAATCTTTGCAATATTATAAATTTGGAGGAAATTCTTATTTAAAATACTAGAAGGAAATCTTAATGAATTTTCTAAATTTGGCGTGATTTTAAAGATCTGACTCTTTAATTGTCGTAACGACATGACGTATGGGTGCATCTTCCCATGCAAGGCTGAAACGATAATTTCCGTTAATTTATTCTGATAAATTATAAAATTTTCTATATGATAATTGAAAATTATAAACATTTTCTCTATTTCACTATGTTAGCAATCTGCAACTCCTTTCCTGTTTTGTTAATAGTTTCAAAAATTTTATCAAAAGTGATTTCGATACTTTCAGTAATTTTATTCAATTGTTTTGTCAAATTATCTAAGGCTTTAAATTCCGACTTGTAAATTGCTACTTGTTGCTTATTTAAATTAATTAAATGATTTTGATTTTCTTGTAAAATTGAAATCTGTTGATCATAATACATAGCGTCGGACTCTGTCAAAGTACCAAAAAGTTGTTTAAAGACTGATCCAATAATGTTTAAAAGTGCGCGCTTGCTTCTTGTGCTGTCGCTTTCTTCTATTAAATCAATAATTATTTCATTTTGTGAATTTATACTTCTAAGTACATTATTAGATGAGTCTAGGAAAGGCTTGCAGATTTCTTCATATAGTGATGTGTTGCATCTATTACTAAAAATATCATAAGTTGTTAAAATTCTCTTTAGATTCAACTTATAATCAAATAAATTATGTGAAATTATTAATTCAAAATAATCTCCGCACAACTCAACGTCACCTAGTCTCTTGTAATATATTCCGGGGCTATCAATGTATGTTATATTGAAGGGGAGAGCCGTTTCGCCCGGAACCACGAATGCCGTGAGAATTGCCAGAGATATTGCCAGAATTTTCGAATTCATCCTGTTGGGAAATGGGTTTTGTATTTGCAAATTCTATTGAAATTTAAATATTGAATTTTTTCAAATTATTATTATGAATAGTTATTATTTTACCCTTTACGTCTATCATTGAATTTACACCCTCTTGTTCTATTACCTTAAAAGGTCCCTTATAAATGGGCATAAGCTTTTTGCACTTGCCTTTGTAAGGTGTTCTATCCTTCATAAGAACCAAATCTCCAACAGAAAAATTTGCTTCATTAACAAATTTATCAAAATTTTCTTTATTCTTTTCTTTAGATTTAATTAAATTTTCGCGAGCAATCGAATTGATCTGTTGAAGCCTGTTTTTAAATTCCTGTAAAAAATTTTCATAAGTGTTTTGAAGCTTTGGTTCTTTGTTTACAAATGAAGGTAAGTCCACCTTACGCCCATACACGAGTTCAAAAGGAGAAAATTTAGTTGAACAATGCGGAGAGGTGTTATGTACAAATACCGCGTATTTAACCCATTGGTCCCATGTGGTTTCATCCTTGCCAATGTATGACCGGATGAAGTTCAAAAACATATGATGGCATTTTTCCAATGAGGCGTTAGATTCCGGATGATACATGGATATATTAATCTTGTCTATTTTCAATAATTTACATGTATCTTTAAATAAAGTGCTCATAAAATTGGTTCCTTGATCAGTCAGCACAGCTTCCGGAATTCCAAATCTTAAAATTACTTCGTCTACGAACGCCTTAGCGACCGTTTTCGCCTCCTGGTTGGGAATAGGAATAGCGCCAGCGAACTTTGATAGATCGTCTATAAACGTGAGCATATTGAAATGAAATAATGGGGTGTTGATAGTATGGTTCGGGTATGGGTTGGAGGTCCTTTTGTTGTAAGATCCACAGTCCGGGATATTGGTTACTGTAGTAGCTTCTTTATGCGATATGGTAATAATGTCCGTCCAACCCTTCCTGATGCCTTGGGTCGAGCAG